CATGCAGGGAAAACACTCATACACATAAATAAAAATAAATAAATAAAATAGAAAAAATTTTGCATTCATATACACAAGAGATACTGATTTGAAGTTTTCTTTCCTTGTACTTTGGTCTAGTTTTTATATTTTACTAATGTTGGCTTTTATTTTACAGTGGATTCCATTGCTATTTATACATTGTGAGGCTGCCAGATTAGATGCTTGCCACTGGAAATACAGTCTGTCACAGTCACAAGGGGAAGGACATGCCACAGTACAGTAGGAGAGGCAGCACATAGAGTAACACCAGTGTCCCTCAGAGGTAGAAGGAACAGAAGGAAAACAGGAGATGGAGCCTTTATCATGGTTTCCATGGGGGACTAGGTAAATCCAGAGAAGCAAGCTTACTGTAGGCTGCTTTGATTAGTTTCAGATAGCTCTTGCTGGCAGAGCCTGTCTTTATTATCTGGAATCTGGCCTTGGGATGATTAGGGCAGGGGAATGGCCTAGAGCACAAGGGAGAGGTGGGGATGGGGTGTGGCCTGTGGACTGCCTAGTTTGCTTAGGAGAGATGTGTTCACAGTGGCTTATGTATCACTTTTGTATCAATAAACATACCACTTTGACTGTTGGCGCTTTTAAAAAATCTATTTATTATATTTTAATATTTTGTTATTTTTGAGACAGGGTTTTCCTGTAGTCCCAGTAAGCCTGGAATTTACTATGTAGACCAGGCTGGCTTGGAACTCACAGTGATCCACTTTCCTCTACCTCCTGAGTGCTGGGATTAAAGGCATATGCCACCATACCTGGTGTGATTGTTAGAGCACTTTTAAAATCAGGGAGCATAGTAATTCTACCTTTGTACAATTGTGTTTGTATGTGCATATATTCATGTTTGCGTGTGTGTGTGTGCATATGTGTGCATGTGTGTGTGGAGATCAGAAGTCAGTCTTGGGTATTATTCCTCAGGAGCTGTCCACCTTATATTTTGAGACCAGGTCTATCACTGGAACCTGGAGGTTGCTGATTTTGGTAGACTGACTGGCTAGCAAGTCCCAGGTATCTTACTGTCCCCACCACCTCTGCATTGGAATTACAAGCATGCACTACAACACCTAGCCTTTAAGGAGGTACTGGTCCTCATGTTTACATGGCAAGCTCTTTACAGACTGAGCCATCTCCCCAGCTGTAGCTTTGTACTTGAAGCTCAAGATTGCTTGGAAAGCTATTTTTTTTTTTTAACGATTTAATACTTTTTGCTCACTTTTCCTACCTTCAGATGTTCTGTTTCATCACAATTCAGTCTTGTTAAGTTGTATATATGTTTCTAGGAATTTATGTTTCTTCTACATTACCTAATGTGTTGGCATTTATTTATTCACGGTAGTCTCTACTTGCTGTGGTTTGGATGTGAAGTCTCTCCACTAAAGGCTCATGAATTACAGACATAGCTCCCAGTGAAGTGATGTTCTCAGGTGGGGCTTTTGGGAAGGGATTGGATCATGGTCTAATCAGTGGATTAATCTGTTGATGGATACATAATTGAAGGAAACATTAGGCCTAGTTGGAGGAAGTGGATCAATGAGGATGTCAGTTAGAAGGATATGTCTGGTCCCTGGACCCTTCTTCTCTGGCCCTTTCTGCTTCCTGGCTGTCATGAAGTGAGCTGTATCCTCTGCCATGATGCTTGTCACAGTCCCACAGCTGCCATGAACAGATACTTCTGAAACCATGACCCAAAAGTGTCTCTCTCCCTTTAGGGTGTATTTCTTAAGTATTTGTCATAGTAATAAAAACTAAGACACTTGTGGTAATGAAGAGGTTTTAGAATCACCATGGAAGCAAACATCTGAGCATGTCTGAGAGGGAGTTTCTAGATGAGGTTAACTCAGGTGAGAAGATCCACCTTAAATGTAGGTGGCACCATTCTGTGGGCTGGGGTCCTGAATGGAATAAAAAGCAATAAGCAGTTAAAGTAGCACTCATGTCTCTCTGCTTTCTGACTGCAGTTGCAGTGTGACCAGCTGCCACAAGCTCCTGTCAGTATGCCTAATATAGTACAGTTCTTTTTGTTTTCGTGGTATTAGTTGTCATGTCAACTCTTCCATTATATTTTTATTTAGACCTCTGTGTTTTAATTATAGCTAAAGGCTTTTGGATTTTGTTTATCTTCAAACAAAACCAAATCTTTTTTTTAAAATTTTGAATATGAGTTTATTGCCTGCATGTATGTAAGTTCACCCATATTGTGCAATGCCCATGAAGGCCAGAAGAGGGTGTTGGATCTCCTGGAATTGGAGTTACAGATGGTTGCTAGCCACCATGTAGGTGCTGGGAACCAAACTTGGGTCCTCTAGAAGAGCAGCCAGTGCTCTTAACCACTGAGTCATCTCTCCAGTCCAAATTCTTGGTTTTCTTTCCATATGGCTTTGCCTGTCTCTCTTTTATTTCTGCACTATCCTTTAAGCATTTCTTTCTGCTGGCTTTGACATTTATTTGTTCTTTTCTATAGTTGCTCAAAGGGTGAAAATTAAGTTGTTTATTTGTACTCTTGCTTCTTTCTTAATGTGTCTATCACCATAAGTTTGCTCTGTGTAAGCCACTTTTGCTATATCTCATAAGTTAGGGTTGGGTATTTCTAATTTGTCTTAAAGTACTGTTTTAATTCCCCATTTTATTTGTTATTTGGCCCATTGGTTGTGCAAGAGAATGTTGTTCAAGTTTCAAATACTTGTAAATTTTCCCAGATTTCTCTAATTATTTCTTTTACTTCATACCATTGTAATGGCTGATGTGCTATCCATACTCTGGTCTCCCACTATATTTTGTAAGCCCAATGACGACTCAGATTTCATTGGCACTGCACATTTTTCTTCTTGCTTGTTTTCTCTGTTTTATCCAGTTGGCTATTTTTTCTTTCATTGGCCCCAGAGTTGCTGTGGAGGCCCTCTTGTCAGTTTTTCATTTTCTTTTTTTTTTTTTTTTTATTTGAATTTTTGTGTATTTCATACAGAACATCTCAGTCAATCTTAATCATCTTTATACCTCCTTCCCCACTGGCACCTTCCCATACCGCCCCCACCACTGGAATTCATACATTCTGTCATTTGTGTTAAGGCCTATTGTGTCAAGTTTGTGTCCCCAGATGTTCCTCAGTGCAAGTTCATCTGTTGTGGTCTAGTCAGCTTATCTAGAGTCCCTTGCTTTAGGAAAATCAATACTTCCTCACCTAGCAGTAATCAGTTGCCAATATTTCTTTAGCTAAGATTGCTTTCCATAGGAGTTCACAATCCCACCAACAGTGAATCAGCGTTCCCCTTTCCCCACATCCTCTCCAACATTTGGTATCATTTGTTCTCTTGAATCTTAGCCAGTTTGACTGGGGTAAGATGAAATCTTAAAGTGGTTTTAATTTGCATTTCCCTAATTACTAACGATGTTGAACACTTTTTAAGGATGTTTCTTAGCCATCTTTATTTCTTGTTTTGAGAATTCTCTGTTCAGCCCCTTAGCCCATCTTTTAATTGGGTCACTTGCTTTCTTGATTCTTTGTTTTCTGAGTTCTTTATATATTCTGGATGTTAATCCTCTGGCAGATGTGTTGCTGGTGAAGATTTCTCCCACTCTGTAGGTTTTCTCTTCACTTCCTTAGTTGTTGCTTCTGCTATACAGAAGCTTTTTAGTTTAATGAGGTCCAACTTGTTGATTCTTGACCTTAATTCCTGAGCATTTGATGTCCAATTTAGAAAGTCCTTTCCTGCATCTATATCTTGTAGGTTACTGCCAATGTTTTCTTCTAATAGTTTCAGAGTTTCAGGTCTTATACTGAAGTCTTTGATTCATTTGGAGTTCACTTTTGTGTAAGGTGAAAATTAGGATGTAGTTGTGTAAGGTGAAAATTAGGATGTAGTTTCATTCTTCTACAGGTGGAGATCCAGTTTTGCCAGTCCCATTTCCATTATCGTATTTTTTAGTTCTGTAATTTCAGTGAGCTATGTATTATTATATCTCTGTCAGTGCTTTCTATTTGACACAGCACTGTTGTCATGCCTTTCTTTACATCTTTACTCATGGCTGGCTCTAGTTCCTTGAACTGTTTGTAATGGCTACTGCCTGCTAAATTCATGTTATGGTTTGACTATAAAACATCTCTTCCCATGCATTGAAGGCCTAGTCCCCTGCTCATGGATACAATCACTGAGAGATGATTGGATTATGAGGATGCTAACCTTATCAATGGTTCCACTCGTTGCTGAGTTCAGAGCTGAATGAGCTATTAGGAGGTGGAGTCACGTTGAGGAAGTAGGTCACAGGGGACATGCCTTGGGAGGGAATCTCTTGTTCCCAGTCCATTCTTTTTTCTGTTTCCTGACTGTCAAGCAGCTTTCCTCTATGTTACCCCTCTCCAGCATGATTTTTGCCTTGCCTTTGACCCAAAGCAATGAAGCCAGCCAACCATCAGGTAAAATTCCAAAACTGTGAGCCAAAATAAAATTTTCCTCCTTTAAGTTGATTTGCCCAGATATTTTGTCACAGCAACAAACATTGACTAATATGATCCAATATCTGTTCTCTCCCATGAAAAGTTTCTGATGTCTGCTTTGTACATGGATCACTCTTTACTTTCTTGTCTCACTTTGCTGTTGTTGGAATTGGATGTTTTACACAGCATAACAATTCTAGGTACTGTTCTGCCTTCCATTTCCCTAGAGCTTGCTATTATCATTTGCTTAGTGCCTGGGTGTATTATTTTAGTGAAGTATATTTCCTCTCAGTAGTTAAACCTCTGATGTTATGCCTTTGGGTTTCATATCACCTTCAGCATGTACACAATCACCCTGGGCTGAGGCAGCTCTGTCAGTACTGTGTGACCCTCCCAGATCCTTCCCAGTTGTTAACTTTTGCTAATTGTTGACTGACTGCATTATTATTTTTGATTTTTGATAACTTCTTGGGGCATAATTTGTTATCTATTCATCTAGTCAAGGAATAGTTCTGAAGTCAGCACTAGGAACTTGTTCTGAACTCAGGAGGACTCCTGACTTTCACTTTCCCTAGTATTCTTCCCAAAACATAGAGAATGCACAATTTAGCTTGTATACCTGATGAATCCATCAGCCTTTTCTGGACCTTTTACTGTAACCTCCATTGTTTTTGAGCATGCCATTAGTGTTGAACTTTTCCAAGTTCAGTTTTAGCTGAAATTGTTGTTGATTTATTCATTTGCTATAAGCCATTGGAATCATTTCCAGAGACTAATTTTTAATTAATTTCCCCATGGAATAGGCTATTAGAGCTTCCCCCCACCCCACCCCATACCAGAAGTAGACCTCTCTGACAAGAGGCTTCTGAGAAAAAAGCCTAAATCTTCCCTCATACTTAACTGACCCCTAAATCCATCATCTTCTAATTTAGGAGACTAGCAAGGAGGTTAGTATTGGAAGGGAGTCAGTATGTTAATTTCCACATTATTCTAAATCCCTCTTTCCATTTGATAAATTTAGACTCCAGTGGATAATGATTTTGCAGTAATGTATAGTCAGGTGACCTAGTTATTCAGCAGGTTGATTGAAGCAGGTGAAAACCTTGATCTAAATTCTGTTCAGAATAAGAGCAGACTTTAGGTTGCAGATGGGAATTTTGAAAGAGGTATTTGACTATCATAGAGACTTGCTGCTCCAAATGGTCCCACTCATTGCTCTTACCATGAGGCTTGTACATGTTACATGTTAATGGAACCAGAGTTTTCAATGCTGGGTTTTTTTTTTTTTTAATGTTAGAAATATCTGGAAGAGTTGAAGGACCACTGCTTTATATCAGTAGTTAAGAACTTGATTGGCTAGAGAGATGGCCTAGCGGTTAAGAACACTGGCTGCTCTTGCAGAGGACCCAGGTTCAATTCTCAGCATCCACATGGTGGCTAACCATCCATAACTCCAGTTCCAGGGGATCTGACACCCTCTTCTGACCTCTGTGGGCATTGCAGGATACAGATGCACTTACATATATGCAGGCAGTACACTCATACACATAAAATAAAAATAAAAAGAACTTGAATAAAAACATTAAGCATGACAAAGATCTTTCTTAGAAAATAGCCTGATTTGTTAAAAATCATAAATAACCTTCTAATGTATGATATTTAGGCAATATTTGAACTGTTTACTATACATACACATTTCTAATGTTCATTATGATTATTTTGTTTAATTAAATGTATAGATACTGCCTAAGAAGTGAAAAAATTTAAAAACTACAATTACTATTTACACTAATCATTGACATTCTTGATCTTTCCAAAATTTTGTCTTTAGAGTTATACACGAAAGATAATGGGAACTCACATTGTCAGCTTTCCAGAGTTAAAGACGAGTACACTCTTAGTATGATAAAGGTAAGTCTGAACAGTTTTGGAGTCACAGTGAATGAGTTACCCACAGGCACATTGCTAGGCCCTGGAAATGCTTGCTGTTATAGAAGTGCTTGCTTTTAGGAGACCAGGAAGCTCTTCTTACATAAGCCTAGGTTTATGCAAGAATTAGAGTGTGTGCCCCATGAGAGTAGTAGTTTCCCAAAGGTATCAAGCTTTGACTTTACAGCCTGATTAAAGTGCTGCTAAAGACATGACTTACGTTTGGTGGGATTTGAGAATTCCAGGCCCCATTTCTCATTCCCTAATCATAGTTACACTACAACAGCAACTTCAGCACCTACCTTTTGAATAGTGCTTACTACATGACAGGCTTTTGCATGGTGACTTAATTTTCACACCTCTACAATGTAGGTGTTAATCATTTTTTACTGTGCCTGCTTCATAAAATAAAAGAGCTTTAGACAATATATGAAATTCACTAATGTCATTCAGATAATAAAATATAGATCTGAGTGCAGGATATAAATCTTTTTTATTTTAAAAAATCCATGTTCTTAACCATTGTACTAACTGTCCTGAGATGTTCACTCTGTACAAACAGGTTTTTAGAGATCTGTTGCTTGAAAGACTGTCTTCTGCCACATCAGATGGTGGCTCACTGTTGATTGTCTGCTGTACGATCTCATTGTCTTCACATTACAATTTAGCTAGTCAGAGTTTAACTTGGAATGCAGTCTGCCTTCATTATGGATTCTCTTTGCTAATTTGTCTGTTTGCTAACATTTATTTGCATTTCGAGAAGTCATGCTCTTGACACTTTAATGATCATTTGTGGACATGCCCAGAGTGCAAAAAGATTTAGGCATAGAAAAATCTGAGCATAGAAAAACATGACCAGCACTTGTGTGCCGTCCATGGTGAACAAGGTTCAGCTCTGGAGTTTTGTTTCCTCTCTCACATTACTCAGTGTTCCTTTGAACTTTTCTGGTCTATTAGTACAGGTTGAATGACTCTTCTCTGAAGTTTCAGATTCTGGGAGATTTTGCAATATTTGTATGAACTTTACTAGTTGAGCATCCCCAATCTAAAAATCTAAAATTGAAATGCTTCAAAAATACCTGAAACTTTTTTCCTGGTATTTAAAAATATTTGTA